TGTGAGTGGGGAGAGCACCAAAAAGGTGTGCTCAACGTAGATGCGCTAAAGCAATGTGCTAAAGTGAAAGAAGCCAGCCCCGGAAGGAGGCCTACTGGATGGGACCACCGTTGCGTGCGGAAGCTGAAAGTTAAGTCCGACGCGTGCAAGCAACCAGAGGGGAGAGTTGAGGTTATGGGGTGAATGGGGTGGGGGAGGGGTGGGGGAAGGGCACAAGGGGGAGGTGTGGCCCAAGGGTATGAAGACTCAGGTCCATCAGGAGCCGGAGTTCTGCAGACACAAGGTGCATGAGGCCTGCAGGAAACCGTAATTGGCTGTGTCTCTAGTGTGCGGATAAGCCAAGCATTTGCAGAGAGATTTCAGAATGAAGGGGTCAGGAAGGACCCCATGGACATGACGGACACCCGCATGTCCCTGACGCTACCCTGCGTACCTCCCTCACACACAGCGCACAACTAACTTCTCCTAGGCAGAGCGGAGCTCAATCCAGCAGTGTCAAAAATGTCAGCATTCACGTGTCCCGAAAACATGAATCAGACACAGAAGGAGGAAGTAACGGAGGAAATGAGGATGGGAAAGGGCGCGGGGTACGCAGAAACCAAGTAGTGCAACGGCAGACGCAAATCTGCCCTGGTCAATAAAGAGGGTAGGCAGCAACCCGGTAAGGTGTGCACGACAGCAGAACATACTGACTTTGAAAAGCTGCCCACGTCTATGCTCCACGCAAGAGACTGACCTTTTAGGCCCGAGGCCACAGAGCGGTTGGACGCGGGAGGAAGGAGAAAGACGAGTGACCTTATGCCCTAAGCGAGGCCGCTGACATCCCTGCCCCTCGCTGACCGGCGGTACAGTGCATGGCTGCTCGTCTGTACCCAAGGAGGCGTCACCATGCACGATACGGTATGGGCAGAGAAGGACTCCTAGGGGCTCAACAAAGATTAGTAACTCACCGCCCGCACCCCGCACCCCTCCCGCCCGTTGGAAGAGGACAGGATTCCAATCCCCAAATGGAAGGAACAGGGTCCAATCCACAGGCAGACAGACAAAGAAACAGGAACTCTCACAGCAGACTCAAGTCAGGCCAACAGCCCAGCAGCTAGAACCAAGCAGCGAGACCCGCAAAGCCCAAGGCGCTTATGGGGGCACAGCTGTGCCCGTCCGGGACTCAGGCACGGATGCGAGAACCGAGACGTGACGGCACAGGCAGAGCCAGGCCAAGACACGCCAAGGCAAGGCACGCTCAGGAAGACACAGAAACACGGGCAAAGGGGGGCACCCGCGATCCACCGTTTACACAGACAAAAACACGAAGATCCTGAGAGGCCAGGGACCGACGCACGTGGTGCAGACCCACGGAGCCAGAACGCTCGTGAATTCCTGAGGTGGCCCTCTCCGATCAGACAGCACTCTGGGTTACAGGAGTTTTGTTCCCTTAATGCCCAGAGTCTTGGCCGTGCTGCTTTGAGGAAGAGGTAGACCAGACGAAGAGCACTGGGCAACAGGGTTATTGAGCCAAAGTACAAAGCACCCTGAGAGGGCTGCTGGGTTCCCGTTCAGACTTGGGGGTTTTATAAGCTCTTTCCAGGACCTTGAGAGTGGGCCCCCTGTGGATTCGCGGCCAAGGTGTTGCCAATCAGGACTTGGATCACGCACCCATCTCCCATGCTGATGGGTCTTGTGGGCTGACAACTGGAGACTTAGTGCCTCAGCTCATGACAGCAACCGATGTTTCATGGTTAGTGGCTTTGTTTTGGGTCGTGCTGCAAAGGTCACCCCTGCAGAGGCTGCTAGACAGGATGCTATCATGGTCTTGTCCGAGCGGTCAAACGGGACACTAGCGCAGTTTTGTCTGAGCTGTCCCGGCTCCCCACTTTCCTGTTGGGGACCCTGGGCCTGACGCCCTCAACGTCCAATTGACTCCTGCCATCTTGGGATCCCTGATCTCCCAAAGCATCCCCCCTACCCACGCCTCACCCTTCTCTCTGGGCCGGGCCTCAACGTCACGCTGTTGCCTGAGCACTGGCCGGAGATGCTAAGAGGAGGGGGACCTTGTGCCCACCTCTCCCCCCAATCTTTATGTCCTCAGCAACACCCTACCAAATGGCACAAGTGCAGAGGCCTACCCTGCGGTCCCCTGAAATATCCCAGCCTAGGACCCCTTCAGACCATGCGCCAACATGGGAGCTGTCCCGCTCCCGCTCTGGATTTGACGTCACACTTTCATCCGAGCCGTACAAGCAGAGCCAGGTGCCAGCAGGCGGGTACCCCGGCATTTACAGACCAAGAAGCTGAGAAGGCCAGTCTCCCCCATAGTAGGAGAGAGCCAAGCCTTCCCTCCTAGAGCCTGAGGTGTCTCCGCCCGCCATGGAAGGGGCAAGGCTAGGTCCTACAGATCATCAAATCCACAACCTGATGCTGGACAGGCGATCCGTCCTGCATACTGAAAGGGACAAGAAGCTTCCATGCAGTTTGACTGCCAAACCCTCTGCCGGAAGAGCCGCCATCCTTCCTGGAAGTTGTGGTGAGGGGAGCCTCATGGGGTGGGGCGCGGTGGGGGGCAGGAAAGTTAGTACCACCCCATCACCTTCAGGGCTGCTGCCCTTTCAGCCACTTTAGGTGGGGATGGAGAAGACCCTCATGGGGCAAACAGTCATATGTCCCCACTCTACTGGCAACGGACTGGGTCCTCTGACAGGTTCCCTAGGCAGAGGCATCCCAGGAAAGCAGACGACTGCTCAGGGGAGGAACATCCCAGGGGCTCACCTCACCGCCTCCTGGGTGCACCTTGCGACAGGTGCTCTGTAGGCTCCAGGACTTTCCATATACCTATGCACAGAAGGCTTAGGGATATCAGCCCCAGAGTCACCATGGGCAAGACAGCACACGGGAGGGTGGCCCGGCCCTTGCACTTAGCAACTGTGCTACCCCTGCTCCTCCCCTCTGACCCTCTGCACCCTGGCGGACCCCAAACTTGGGTCTTAGGGAAACAGGGGCCTAGGGATCCTGGGGAAGCGTGGTTGCGTCAGTGTGTGAGTGTCAGGACATGTGAGTGAAGGGGCCTGTGGGTGGGTCAGTGAGTGAGTGTGTGCCTGAGTGAGGGACCAAGGGGGCGTATGTCAGGGGCTCTGAGTGAGTGCAGGAGTGTGTATGTGGGGGGTGACTCAGAGTGAGTGTGTGTGTCACTGTGTGGGACTGCCTGAATGAGTGTGTGGGGGCGTGAGTGACTGTGCACCTGCGTGTGCATCTGAGCGTGTCTGTGTATGTGTGTGTGTCGGTCCGTCTTCCCCACAAATTAGAGCCTCGCCTGGCTCCTGTACCCGAATGAGCGTCATCTTTCCTACCTTCCCACCTCCCTCTGTCGCCTCTCCCACCATCCCTCCATACGGCCTGACCCACACTCGCTATCATTGTGGCTGGTCCTGAGAGTCCAACCGTGTCAGCAAGAGGCTGTGCGTGTTCCAAGGCATGAAGGGCACCAGCGCTGGGTTCAAAGGAGTAATGAACCTTGGGTTCTCCCACCGACTCCCCCGTGGCGTGTGCAGTGGATGTCTGAGGCCACCCACCAAGGAGCATCCCTGGACAACTGTAATCGCCATCCAGCGAACCTGGGTCCTGGACACCTTCGGCCCTGGCTCGTCGCTCCCTTTCTTTGAACTTCCTCATTTCCCCAGGGAAGAGATGAGCCCCAGGTAGCTGGCCTTGGTCTCATTTCCTCTCCCTGCCCAGTGCCCCCGCACCCCAAGGGGAAGGACCTCTGGCCCCTGGGATGTAGTCCCCGAGCGTGTGTGCCCTAGCCCTCTGGGCAAGCATACAGGCCAAGCCATTCCATGGGCTGGCGATGCCCAGGCAGAGAACCAAACACCCACCAAGGCCGATGTGTTCAGGGACTCCAGCGACCCTCTTTCACAAAGGACAACGCGCGCACCCGAGCACCCACGTGCACACACCCACACACACACACACACACTCACAGAAGGATACTTGACCTTGTTTATTAACCTTTTAATATTTTTCAGGTCTCCTGGGGCCTCAATTCGCCCTCTGTTTTGTACTGGAACCAGTCTTCAGTTAGTCCTGCACAGAGAAACCGGCCTGAACATTCAGGTCCATCTGAACCTTTTGTACTGGCTTTGAACAACTGCGATGCTCCCTCATATTCATCTCAAATTCATGACGCTCCCTGGGAGGGACAGACACACAGACACACAGACAGACACACACGAACACAAGAGGAGACTCGTGTGTACCTGCTCTGGGCCATATGTAAGGTTGCTTCAGTGTTTGAAGGCCCTCTCCGGGAATGGCGGTCACTCTCCCATGCCACTCCCTGCAGCTGACTGTGATCGCCTTAACTTCCCTCCACCCACGTAATCAACTGATCTGTGAACGCTGGCCAGTGCTCTCGGCGTGGCTGGGGGCAGGGAGAAAGGAGCTGCCTATGGAAATGAAGGGGTCAACTGTGCTGTCCAGACCAACACAGACAGGTGACGGGGCGGCGGGGTGAGCCTTTGTGCCTGGATACCCAGACGTCTGTGCCAAGCGTGACGGGAGGCAGCTTCGGGGGGCCCATGTGTAAGGTGGTGCTAGGAGACCTGAGGGTGGGTTTTATGGTCCCGGAATGACAATTCCCACAAGTGCAGCTGCCGAGCTGTCCTTCCCTCTCCAGCTCAGCTCATGGACGCTGCCTGGCCCCGCCTGCCTCAAGCTTCCCCAGGCAGAAGCCGTTTGGCACTGCACTTCTCCAATCTCCTCCTCTCACGGTGATGCCCTTTTGACCCGGGGTCCCTGCGGCAGAGAGTTCCACGGAGGCTCAGGGTCTCCACTGGTGGAGCCCAGGTCCCACGGAGCCCCACTGCGCACATTTCAGCGCCCACACCCTGGGCCCCTCCCCTGTCCTCCTCTCCGTTCCATCTCGTGGGGATCTTCTTCGTCACGTAGTACTGCAGGGGGTTGGGCCACACGCCGTCCATGATGATCTGGCGGGGGAAACGGGGCAGGGCTCAGAGGCCCATCTCAAGCAGCCGGGGAGCCCAGCGGGGTCCTTCTCGCTGTTTGTCACAGGGCCCCACCTCGGCTATCCTGCTAGAACCAGCAAAGCTGTGGGCAGAGAACCAGTTGAAGAAGCTAAGACTGGGGTTGTGGTGCCTGTGACTGTAGGACTCCCGTTCATAATCCTGGTGCCACTGGATGGGAGTGGACTGAGACGGCCCGTACCCTGCCA